GATACTTAAAACTTTATTGTTATTGTTCTTGAATGCTTTGTAATTCCGACCAGACACGGAGACAGAGGTGAAAGAGAAAGAAAAATAAAAAGGCGCAGAAATCATAAGATTTTTTCTTCTATCTGCTCCTTTTCATTCAAATGTTTTTTTTCAATATGTTAATGTATCCTGTATTTGGTTTTGTTTATTTTATACATTGTGAATGAAATAAAAGTAAAAAAAAAAAGGTGGGGAGAGGGGGGGGGGTTCCACAAAAATAAATAATGAACAAGAGTCTGCTTCTAGACCTGCAGAAAAAGACAAAAAAAAAGCAAAAGAACAAAAAAATGGGACACAACAACAATACAACAAGGCCAAGCTATCACTGCGTCAACTTCATGAAGAAATAATCAACATTGCTTAACTGAAGAATCACAATAAGAAATCACAGTGCATTAAGTGCCCACCATAGTCTTAAGACCTGTGTTTAACGTGCCCAAGTCCATAATTTTGAGAGCATCCTGTGAGCCCCTGTGTGTGAACATGCGCTTGTTTATGTAAGGTTTCTCTACAGGAGCGTCCAACAGAGAGTGTGAGGGACCACAGATCCGCCCCCCAAAGATGCGCAGGAGACGGGGGGAGCTCCAAGTCCCAGAGATCCAGACGCTGCCCCAGAAGACAGGAACCCCAAGGAGACTGCAACCATAAAGGCCCCCGCCCCCCTCGAGAGGCACAGAGGATCGCCCCGGGGGGCCACAACCAGCAAACGGCTGAGTCCCAGGAGATATCAGTGGCAAGCCCACAGGCCCACCCACAGCCTCCCACCCCCTAGCCGGCCGAGCCTGGGACCCAGCGACCCGGGACCCAGGGGCAACCACCCCCGCCGGGGACCCAGCAGAGCCCAGGGATCCAGACCCCACCAGGCAGCCACCGGGATTGATCAGGCAGTTGCCAAAATCTTAAACCCCCAGACCCGGTTGCCACGAACACTCAGGCAGACCAAGGCACAACCCCTCACACCAGGTGTGGCAGGGGGAGGGGGGACGAAGATCTATATCATCAAAAGAAGTTCCAGGAGAGGGGAGGAGTCAAAGGCCCCACCTGACATATACAGTCATACACAAACACAGTCACACACTCCCTCCCTCATGCTCACACATGCACATACAACCCAAGACTTGCAAAAATGCATGCCGGACACCCACTCATGCTCCCCATACACACCCTATTCACTCTGGTCCCGGTACTGCTGCACATTGGGTACAACCATCACCGGTAACCAGAGTTTGACCCTTTCTGCTGGGGTGCTGATGAGCAGGCTCCCCCGCCCAACGCCGAGCACAGCAACCCACCACCCCAGGCCCCAACCAGACGGCCAGATCTTCCTCCTAGCCTCCAGCCCCAAGAAGCCAAGCAACAACAGAGGTGCGCTAAGACCCCTAGTCTCCCTCTGCCTGCTCCAATATAGTGTTGTGTGATCATGAGGTGTATTCCATGGCTGTGGTGAGTGGGCAGTGCGGGCATCATCCGGCCTATGCCAGCTGATGCCACCGCACCACCCCACTTACACCCTCAGCCCTCGGTGTCTAAGTGCGGTTTAAAATTGGAAGTGGGCACCGGCACCCGGGAGGAGGCTGAGATATCCCCCTGCCAAATGCCGTTGAATGTGCTCACTCCCAAGGCCCTAATTGTGTGTTTGTGTGGAATGTCGTCGGTGGAAGTGTATAAGGTGCAAATAAAATTGGGGGGCAGGTTGCCACAGGAATGCGGAAATGGGGTCCATACCCGCACTCCCTGACTTGCCCACCCCCCAAGGTCCTATGTGTATGTTTGTGTGATGATGTGAGGGAGCAGGAGGAGGAAAATATGCGGGGATGGGGAGGAATGGACTCCTAAGGATTTTTGACCGCAATGGCCATCTGTTGGTAAGGTCGTACTTGAACACAAAAATAATGGTTGCTTGCAATGATTTAGGTATCTAATGCCCCCTTTCGCCAGGGAAAATACACACTGTCACTTTAAGCACAGCTATCCTATCTAAAGGTGAAAAAAAAATCACGGTTAAAGATTTCTTAATTCATGTATCAAAGGGTCCAATACCTTTTGTTATAAATGCTAAAGTAATGTTTTGTGCATTTTTTGATTTGACTTGAGTTGATCATTTTTATCTCCTTGTAAATCCCTTACATTTTTTCCATTTAGGATCTTTTGTCTGATGGGAGGAAACTTTTCTGTGAAGTCCTGTGACCTGTCCAACTCCTCCTTCGTTGGTATAAATACCTCTCATTGCTGCGTCCTTTACCTTTCTCTCTCCGGATCCAAATCAAGCTTCTGGAAACAGGTAAGACAGCTCCTAGTTTGTGCATCTGAAAACTCACCAGATTAATGCACTCACTTTACATCTAATGGTTTTGATATTTGAACACATTTTAAGGCAAACATCCATACACAGATGATACTCTGAGTAAAAATATATTTTATATGAATAAAATCAAATGCACCACAGTCTGTGGAGGGCCTGAAAAATGTCCTCATCCGGTCGCTTAATACCTCATGATGGTCCTCAGTATATAATGAGTACAGGAGAACACACACACACACACACACACACACACACACACACACACACACACACACACACACACACACACACACACACACACACACATTGTGGCCACAGCTGCCCTGGGGCACACTGATGAAAGCATTAAACAGGACAAGGAAGTAAAATATTTGGGGTCATTTGATACCAGTGCGCAGTTCTTTCTGGATTTTTAAACAATTTAAAGATTTACCACAATTGAAATGAGTCCATGCTGCAATATCTGCTTGCCACTAAAGCCCTGTCCACACGTAGCCGGGGATCTGCCAAAACGTAGATATTTTTCTACGTTTCGGCCTGTCATCCACACGAAAACGGAGTTTTTTCACACGAAAACGAATCTTTTTAAAAACTCCGGCCAAAGTGAAGATCTGTGTTTTCTCCGTTTTGGGTGTCTGCGTGTGGACAGACAAAACTGGAGTTTTAAGGTCCGCGACAAAAAAATGCTGACATCACGTGTGTGACCTGTGTTTACACTAGCCGACAGCATGGATGCCCTCAGAGCTGCGCTCGCTTTATCAATTGTCCAAGCGCTTTTTGCTTGTTTGTTTTTGCAAGCAGAATTACTGCTCCTTGTGGAAGACCACAGACGAAGGACGAGGTTAAGAACGGGGGAAGTACTGCCGCCTACAGGTCTGGCATGTCCTTAACAACGTATTTACTCGAGTACGTGTGGACAGAGTTTGTTTTTAAAATGAGGTGGTGTGGATGCAAGTTTTTGGAGGGGCGGATATTCGTTTAAAAAAAACGGCTACGTGTGGACTAGGCCTAAATTGTAAAGCAGGATGTAAAAGTGTGTGACATGTTGAAACAGCAGAGGACAGCCTTAATAGTCTCTAGTGTGTAGTTCTTCAGCAAATGAAAATGGAAGCAACATGAGTGTTGTAATAACCTAAAGTGTGTTTGTTGCTTTTTTTCATGGTGAGTTTCGTAATTCTGTTTAATGCAGCTTTAAAGGAATATGTTCTACTTGTTCTTAGAGGAAAAGGAGGAAATCAAATGTTTTTGTCTCATGTTCACGCTGGTTGATTCATCACTTTTCTGTTTCAATTTTTGTGTTAGGATGATTAATTTATATTTGGTTGGGGCAGCGGTGTCCAACCCTAGTTTTTCACAACCCCAACCCAACATGTTTGAGGTTTCCTGCTCCAACACACCTGATTCAAGGATTTAATTATCTGTTTAGCAGGTCATGAAGCTCTGGGGAGTCCTGTTAATCACACACACTGATTTAAATCAGCTGTGTTGAAGTGAAGAAGGGTTTCTCTGCTTCAATATACCCACTGCATCAAAAACTTTATTATGGCCCAATCTCAATGCTCGCATTGCGCCCTGCGGACTTCAGCAAAGTGCACTGTAAGGCTTCGAGTGCATGATACAAGTGTGCAAATATCTGAAGAATTGAAACAGGGAGTATTGCGTCGTCGATCGCAGCACATGCCGGGATGCAAGTCCCTGTGATACTTTTTTCAAAAACCTTTAACAACTTTTTTACAAACAGCCAAACAGTTATTTGAAATAAACTTACATTTATTATTGCTTTGTCTAAAAGTCTTAGAGCATCAACTAATCAGCCTAAAAGTACCTAATTTATTAGAAAATACATATTTTCAGAAAAGGAACTTGAGCCTTTTCTCCTGCAGCAACGACTTATGGGTAATTCCCTTGCCCGAGGTCCGCATCGCTGCGGACTTGGGTGAAGCTCAGATTAAGGGTGCAATGGGGGCATGATGAACTTCCACACTTGAGAAACGGGACACCCTACGCACTCGCACCACTGGCCGGGAACGGGCAATTGAAGGGTGCATTGGGATTGGGCCTATGTGTGATATTTATAGAACTCAAATATGCCAAGATTGCACATTTGGGTAAATGCTGACATGAAAAGTCAATCGAGTCATTCTGCACATCCTGTCACTCATGGACCATGGATCAGTTTTTTAATAATTTGTTGGTTTTGCATGTTGTTCATGCAAAAAAGGAGGAATTTTTTTAAATTAAATAAACATCAGTTATTTTAAGTTTACCTAAAGAAAAAAGGTAAAATTCTCTAGTTTTCATAAAAACATAAAATATTATCAAAAATGGATCACAGGATGTCCTGCTGAAGCTTCCCATTACAACAAACATCTGATTATCTGTGTTTACATTTGAACACAAAACAGATCACACTTCACTTTTGTGGATTTACACTTCTTCATGTGAAGCTTTGCACTAAATAACGGTACATCAAGCAGAAGGTAACAGAGACCATGACATGGTGTCAGACAGGATATTTACCAAAGATGGATTTGATAATCTCACTGTTGCCACTACTGGTTTGTGTTTCATGTTTACTGACTGCAACAACAGACCATGAAAGAGAAGTATTTGGTTCTGTCACAATCTAGGTGTGCAAACAGACAGTGGGAGGGATGAAACGCTGCACTATGGCCAGCTTGTAATTGCAAAACCACTTCTCTAACTAGCCTTAGCTGTGCTTCAACGGCTTCCTTTTCTTTGTGGATTGACTGTAGCAGAAGATGGTGCCCTTGTTGGTTGTTGTGCTTCTGCTGTCCTTCAGCAGCTTTTCCCTAAGTGATGGTAATCATCTGTATGAAGTAAAATCTCTTTATTGTGAGACAATTTTGTGTGTGAGACTTGTTTTGTGTTTTTCAGATTGTAACACAGAGTTTCTGTTCAACGTGGATTTTCCTGGATCAGATCTAACGTTCCTCTATTCTCCGTCCGTGGATCACTGTCAGCAGCTGTGCACTCAGCACCCCGAGTGCCTCTTTTTCACCTTTATTCGACCTGACTGGACCACAGACGATCGGTAAGACGGAGAGGGCTTTGTAATATATGATAAATAAAAGATCAAGCAAACAGTAAATATTTAAATGCATATTACTATAAATGTTTTGTTTGTTACCTAAATCGGGGGTTGTCACGATTTGGGCCAGGATGTTGAATTTTAATGCTCATTAAGAAAAAAACAAAGAGTAAAAGCAAAATGTTTGGACCTTTCACAATCTGTGTGTGTTTGTGTGTGTGTGTGTGTGTGTGTGTGTGGGGGGGGGGGGGGGTGATTGTCTATTTGTTTAAGTGGACAGGTTTAGACTATTAATGTTTAAGATGTGGACCTTCACTTCAACACAGCTGATTTCCATGCTGAGGGGACATGATGCAAAATGCAAAATTCCCTAATACTTGGTGGCCATCCTACATATATGTGAATATGTAGTCTGGCCATGACTCCCAAGGAGATCTCAGTCATGAGGTGGAATCTATGGTTGTCTTTCAAACTGTCTCCGTCCACTATTGGACAACGACCAACATGATGTACTCACCGCTATGAATGTCAGTCAACAGGGCAGTATGCCATAATGTGTCAAAGAAGATGAACATACATCTTTTTTGATATAAAGGACTTAAGTACCTCTATCTGCACTTGACTCAAAGAAAAGTCCAAGTCTAATTAGTCCAAAGTTTGTGCCAAAGCCGTTTGAAATGAGCCGCCACCATCTTGTTCCTCTCCGATGCGTCATCCCGCCCACCAAACCGATAGAGCGCTGTGATTGGCTCAGGCTAATGGTAGGCCTGCTGAGGCTCCCATGGAGCATGGCTATACCAACATGCAGAGCAAAATCATTTTGCTTCAGCTACTGTCGATTTCTTGGCTAATAAGTATCAAGAATTTGGCAAATTATAGGAAACACTTTAAGTTTGGCTAAAGCGTCTTCAAATACGACTGTAACAGTTTTTCAAATCATTTTATTGCAATTCACACTTTTTCTCTGTTTCCATCACAAAAAACATGAAAAAGAACTGATGAGAGTTTCAAAATAATTTTATCTTTCTCCTTTTTCAGACACTTCCACTGCTTCCTCAAATCTACTACATCTGGGCAGCCAACATCACAGACTCAACTCTTGGGAGTCACATCTGGGTTTTCACTCAAACCGTGCAGTCCAGACCCACGTAGGCTCACCAGGGTTATCGAAATCACTAATCAAGACAGCTGTTATTAGTGACAGTTCCATAAAATGAACTTAAAGCGCAGAATTTCTTTTAAATGAAATGCAGCCACCGTTGCATCACAACTCTTATGTCAGAAGGGAATTGGGAAATTGGCCTATTGCTGTGATTGTGGCAATAAAAAAACCGTCAGAGGAGCAACAAAATCAGTTCCTAATTATATTTTCTGTAAAAGTAGTTTAGTGTCATTTTTGTTCAACCTTTTGTTTTTGTTTGTTTTATTTGCCAGTACCTTGCTTTTCTCAGGATTTTGAGAACGTGGACTTCTTCGGCGCCGACTACAGAACCTTGTTCACGGCTGACTATAATGAGTGTCAGAGAGCCTGCACTCAGGACCCTGGCTGTCAGTTCTTTACATTTGTAAACAAAGATTTCTCACAAGCAAATATCAGGTAACTGTCCTTCAAGGGATACTTTGCAATTTTTTTATATTTTTAAATAACTTTCTTGATCCAGTGTGTGTTAAAATGACCATTTACACCATTTACAGGGTTATTGAAAGGCCACCTGTGGCCCCTTGTGGCCAGAATAGTTCATTTGCAACTTCAAAGTTGCTGATGGTTGGGACGCTGCAGTCTGCTTCCAGCATACTTCCTGCGTGTTTAAGATCATGAACACAGCTGATTTGTTTAATTTAGTGATGAATCACTCCTGTAGACACTAGGGTTGTGACGATACTAAAATTTCAAACTCGATTCGATACTTGAAACAAAACTCGATACTCGATTTCGATACTATTTAAAAACACCAATTTATCAAACAAATTTATTCAAAAAATAACATTCCTCAATTTATATTACAAAAATTCAATGTTAAGAATTAAGTGTATAAAGTGCTTAAACCTTTCAAGTATCAGCATTTTTTAAAACGTGCATACAAAAACTGGTGAAAGTTAACACTTTAAATCAAGAATTGTCTCACTATATATACACTATTTGCAGAGTGATGTTTTGCTGCTTAAACTCTGTTTAAGCTGCATTTTTGTCCTAAGATGTAACGCCATATGTTTGTTCTGTACTTTTGAACAACTCTGTTGGTCAATAAAGGGAGAAAACAAATTTCTCCACAATAGGACAAAGGTACATCTACCGGTAATCTTAATAAAAACAGACTGGCGCACGGCAGTGACGTCATTAAAAGCGCCGATTAGATTAGCCGCGGCTAGTCTGTTTACGCCTAGAAATCCCAGACCCGCTCCAAACGAACAGGGGAATCACGTTAATGATTCCTAACAAAACCTTTCGACATGAAGATGTTTGGTGCAGATAATGTCTTATTTCGAGGCTGCACCATGGGTGCCTGTCCGCACCCGTTATATGGATATACGCTGACGGCGATTCGGCGATGGACCTACGGTAAATACCCCGGGGAATCCAAGTAGCACCAAAGTTGTCAGCGTGAGTAAACAAACGTACTGCATGCTAGAAATTAAGTCCGAGTTGCAATAAACGGGAGTTTCCTTTAAGCACATAAGCGTGAATATACAACTACGTGTCGGACTTGGTATGCTAATTAAGTTGGGCTGTGAAGCGCCTCCCAAATTCGCTGTTTATGTTTTTGTTTATTTATTTGGCAGACAAAACTTGGATCGGAGACAACTCGCGTGGGAAATTGTAATGTAGCCATGCGGCGGCGTCTTCTTCTGTTTGTCTGGGAGGCGGAGGCTGCTTTACGGCATCTGGCTGTCGTGCGTGTCGGTGTACTTGAAGAAGGCTGTGTATAATAGTCCATAATATCGATACCACAGGGATGGAATATCTCATTTAGATACCACTTTTAGTATCGATTTATATCTAGGTATCGATTTTTTTGACAACACTAGTAGACACTAAGGTTGGCAGGGGAGACATTTCAGCTGTTAAATTAAGGAGTTAAAAAAAGACACAGCAAGGAGATAAATTTTGCTTTTGGTTCTACAAATGGGCACTAGGGGGCACTAAAGCAAGCAAAAACTGCCTAGTCTCCCTTTAAACGCGATGCAGCTCAATGTTTGTGCAGGACGACTAGTTTATAGGAATATCATGTAAAATAAAATGACAAAATAAAGGAACACTAGACAAATTTAGCCAGCTTCAACACTCCTAGTGTTTGTTTTAAATTACTGTCACAAAAACAGACTGTTTACCCCCTCACTGCAAGCTCGTGTTTTCAAACCAGCTGACTACATGTTAAAGTTACACTTACAAGAATCGTAACATGACTGCAAGTTCTGCATCCAATTCTACGTCTCTGAGCTCTCGCTTCCTGATGTTGACTCTTATTGTTTTCTTTTGGTCGGACATTCTTTTTATCTTTTTTGCTTCATCAGATAAAGGTTTTCTGTGTTTCGTCAGAGGCGCCACCATGATGAACACAATACAAAAAAAATAAGACATCAAAGCTAAAACACATTGACAAACATCAATAAAATTAAAATGTTAGTCATAAGTACTATATAACTGTTGAGTAGAGCCAAATGTCAGTGAGTAAAAATGAGGAGAACTATAATACTAGCAGACAGCTAGTTATGAAGCCAAGGTGCAGCTACTGCAAAAGTTCCATCCCCTCTGAGCTCCAGTCTTGCCCTCGGATCGACCAGTAGTTGCTGGTCAGCCGACCTTAGAAGCTGTGTTGGATCATATACTGCATGAGAATATGAGAAAGCTACAATGGTGCCAGCCTGTTTCAGGATTTCTATGTCAGGACAAGAATTTCTAAACAAACTCTTAAAAAACAACTGAAGTCCTATGAAGCAAAGCCAGCACCAGGGAGAGGTGTTCAGAGCTGCAGGTGCCCGTCAGCAGACGTGGCGTGGGTTTCTGCACCAGTTTAATTTTTGGAAGACAGCCCTGACTTTCCCCGACATGAAGACCATTGCAGTAATCTGTTCTCAAGGTGATAAAATAAATAAAAAATTATACTTCCAGTTCCTCTCCACTAAGACAGACTTAACTTTAGCAAGTTTCTTTACCTGGAGGAACCACAATTTCACCACATTACTTTTGATTCTACCTTGACCTGTACATTTGTGATACCATCCTTAGCAAAAGCTGACAAAGGTGCAGCTAAACTGCCGATGTCCCATTAGGTTTAAAAAAGAGAATCTCAGTCTAACTCTAAAATTTCAAAGTGATATTCTCCCCACAGTGAGCAGAGGGGCTGAAAGGACCATTTAATCAACCTGAAAAGAGTCATTTTAGCACCTTTTGGCTCAAGAATATAATTCAAATATATAAAATTATACTTAGTGTGCTTTAATACAACTTTTTAAGCTGTGATGTGACTTGATCAAACTGACCAATAAGGAAAGTCCGACCATGAGTAAACATAAATCAATTAAAACAGTTTATGAATTCAAAGTTAACTCCTGACTTTAATACATTCATAATTGTGAGCAGTGTCAAAGGTGACCACTAGAGGGCAACCTTTCGTTTGGACATTGACTGGATCATGAAGGGCCAGGTCCGCACAAAAGATTCTCTCTAACTGGCCTTTCCTGGACTTAAGGACTTTGTTCCTCCAACTAGACTGTTAAATCTGTTAAAAATTCCTCTATGGCCGACAGATGTCATCAAACATGTATTTTCTTCCATTCCAGGTTCAAATGTCACCTGAAATTCAGCTGGCCTGTACCGGCTCCCCCTAACGTAGAAAGAAAAACTGGACTCATATCTGGATTCTCTCAGAACATTCAGTTCCCTCAACAGATTGCTCCAGGTACACCATCACCTGAGAGTTAGAGGCAATGCTTTATGATGGCTTGTGATGGATATTCATGCATTTTATTTGTTTATTTCTTACAGCATGTGAAGGCAAGCTTTTCCAAAGCACCAACATCCCAGGAAGTGATCTCCTGTCTCTGCAGGCTGCATCTTCTGAACATTGTCAGGTCCTGTGCTCTGCTCATCCTCGCTGCTCCTACTTCTCTTTTGTCAGGTACCATGTGTCCATTTTCCAGTAAGAAAGACACTTTTTTTAAAAAATCATGAGTCCTTTAAGCAAAATTATCTTACAGGTCTGATAAGCCTTTTCCCCTTTGTATTAAAAGTAAAATTTGTGTCTGCAGAAATGACTTCACCTGTTTTTTGAAGGACAACCTAAATGGTTTGACCTTCGAAGAAAAAGAAGGAGTCACGTCGGGGTTTCCAGCACGTTTCTGTCAGCTCAGTAATGGTACGTACTGATAATCTCATTACCAATCACAGTTACCTCATGATGTAAACAGATAGTGGACATTCTTTATGCTCTGACTGAATCAAGTTTATACTTTTATAATGTTTTAACGTGTAATTTGACCATATGTATCTTTGCTAACAGACTGGATCAAGCGGACACATGAAGGAGCTGATTTTAGAGGTTCTGACATTCGTAATGAGCAGCTGGACAACGCAGGGGCGTGTCAAGCCAAATGCACCGAGGATCTAAGCTGCCAGTTCTACACCTACCTTACTGACAACTTCTCTGATGCAGCTTTTCGGTACAGTATAACTTTGGTTAAAGTTCAGGCAATAGCCTCTATTTATTAACCACTACACTTTCATCCAACACTGAATTGTGTTGCAGCAACAATAAACGTTTCTTTATCGTTTAGGAGGCGCTGCTTTCTTAAGCGTGTCATCACCATGCCTGCTCCTCCTAAGGTTAACAAGTTGGACAATGTTGTCTCTGGGTTTTCATTGAGGAACTGCGTCAATGCAGTGCAATAGGAAAACATTTGTTATGTTTTGTTACTTTGTGAGTGTGAACATGAATAAAAGTGTTTGCATGCAGTTTTTGGGTTTTGATTTGACATTTTTAAGCCGTTAATAAGAGGCAATCGAAAGGTTTTCTATTGTTTTTATAATCAGAGATCGCATCTGGTTTCTCATACTGGGAATGTTTTCAACTGGAGCACCAACAGTAATTCAACAGGCTAAAAAGTGAAGAAGAATCAAACTATTCATATATGATTCACATTAATGTTATGCTGTCTTTTTTAATTCTTGCAAAAGAAACTCTTAAATGTTCTGTTTGGAGTGTTAGTACAAGTTTTTCTTCCGGCTCTTGGAGAGTACAGACACTTTTTTCTCCTCTCCCTCCCTCCTTATCCCAAGGCTCTTTGTCCTGTCTGTGCACGGCGCTTTCTGCATTTTTTCTGGAAACTGGAAATTATTAAAAATGGATCTGGTCAGTTGGTCTCTCAACGCGATTGACAACATTTTTTCAACGATGAGAACGGGAGAAGGGGCTCCTGGATGCCCCTCTGGGACAGAGCCAGCTGGGTATATCATGGACTCCTGGAAACAGTGGAACCTGATCTGCCTCTCTCAACTGTCTGTAGAGGATTCTGAAGATGTTTGAATATTTGTCGTTTTGGTGTTGGGATTCCTGCTGTTTGGCCTGAGCGGTTACCTGGCTTACCGGAAAATTAACGAGTTTTCGAGGAATATTGGCCCAGTCCCAGAGCTCAGGGATGGTTTACACTGCGCTGTGAACGTACAAACTCATATAATTGTCGAGGTGAGTTGTAAGCTTGGAACTTTGGCTGAGATTCAGGCTCCAGCACAAAAGGTGGATTCCATCAAGGAGCGAGTGGATGGATCAGCACGGATTGGGATAGATTAATTACGCCATTGTTGGATCTAGAGGGGTTGAAGACCAACAGAACACTAACGCAGAGAGGAAATTATCTCTGTCTGTCCCCAAAACAATTTTTATCTGAATCTGGTGCCCTTGAGCCTGTGAGGCTGAAGTGATAACTCCCCCCTCAGAAGAAATGTGGAATGCGGCTGTCGCTATGGTAACTCTTTCTCCCTATCCCAGCCTGGGCAGGACTGTGACCGGTGAAGGCCGTGGAACCGTATCCAGGAGTCACTGTGCCCTCTAACCCATTATCTCCCTCCCCTGTCCAAACAGAGGTGATGAGTGCTGCCCCATGCGGCTGCACACACTGAAGCGAGGAGAGTCCCAACCCTACCGCCCCACCTAGTGGACACATGTTGTGTAAAGTCTGAAGTCTGTGTGCATATCTGTCTGAGGTGTTTTTTTGCATAGCAAAGTTACCCTCTCTGTGGAGGGTAACTCTGAAGTGCCTTTTTCCCCCTCCCCCAACTCTATCCTCATATAAACCCTCTTGATCTATTAAGGTAGCGCGACTCAGGTTGCGAATGACCACAGTCACCAATTCTTGCCATGTGTGTATGTATGTATGTCTGAATCCAGAATTGTGTGTACTCAAACTCTAATTTCCCTCTGGGATAATAAAGTATTTTTGAATTGAATTTGAATTTACAATATTGCCTGCTATATCACAACCAAAGCATAAACATATTTGGAGAATGTGGGAATTGCTGACGCTACCTCTCACTTGCAAAGCAAGTGCTGTACCATTTGAGGTCTATCTCGAAAGCATTTCAGCAACTGAAAGTGTTTTCAAATCCTCACTGTTCAGACATGCTAGATGCTGACTGTCATACAAATGTAATTGCAACGGCATAAACATGCATTTCACCAATTCATGTGAGACAAGAATAGTTCTTCTCGGTGTCAACTGCATATATTTTCATTTAGGTTTGATGTCCTTAATGGTTAAGGAATAATTTGTCATATTTAAAAAAAATCCCCTTGTTATGGAAATGTATATTTCATTACTTTAATCCTATTAACTGAATGTCTTGAAGCACACACACACACACACACACACACACACACACACACACACACACACACACACACACACACACACACACACTCTCTTGTCCTTGTAACCTTCCATACCCACACACACACCCACTCTCTCCCTCGCATGATCTCACTCCCATTCCTTTCTTATAATTTGTATAAATAAACTCTGTGACCAGATGTTCGGGGCATTTGCCCAGTGCACTTGCCACAAATCATGATTTGGTTGCATGTCTGCCTTATTTTCTCTTGTCCCTCTCTCTAGCTGCAGGAAATGTGTTTATTGATAAACATATTGATAAAATCCCTAACACACCTGTTTTGTTACAACACATGCATGGAAAGATTTGTAGAATGTGAGCATAAATACCACTAACTCTTACATGCAATCCAGCACTTGAACATTTTGCCAATTTACCCAAGCACTCATTGCAACCATTAAAACTATTCAACAATCCTCACTGTTTAGACAGGCTTAATGTTGACAGTCTTACAAGTGTAAATGCAATGGCATAAACATTGAATTCATCAAGTTTTGTGACAGTGGTTGGGGTATGGTTTGCTTAGTCAAACCAGTCATCATGTGACATTTTTCAAGCATGTCCCAAAAGTGGCATGCAGTGCCTCTAAAGATTGGATTGGGTTCTATTTTTGCCATGTGCCGCTTCTGGATCACATCAATTTCCGCCGTTATTAGAGGAAAAATCACAGATGGTTTTAAAACCCCCAGTAATTTTCAAAATAAAAGACTATTACAGCGATGCTATATCATGTCTATGTAGATTATGTCAATACACGTGAGCTAACAACTTATTTACTTCCTGAATTGTTCGAGAAGTTCAATGATGTGTTTTTCATGGCTTTAATCCTGGCAGTTGAGAGGATCAACTTCATGTATGACATTAAACAGTGATATCATATGTGATTCCCTCTTTTTGGTTTGATGGCGGATGGCTTAAACAAACCCTGAACTTAGAAGTTTTGGTATCTCGCGAGTCCACCTAAGACGCGGTTCCGTGCCCAAGACTTTCCTGGCGTGTACTGGACCCATAGTATTTGCCAGCGAACCATCCCATCATCATTTGGACAGCCAAACTTCAAAAATGCTGGCCTAAATAATCAGTGAGAGCTTTTAAACTTGATGGCAAGCCGTCCCTGTTTTCTGTAATATCAAACCTAGATTTTGACTTTTTGTGGAAGTAAAATAAACCCTGCTTATTGCACAAGTTATTTGGCAAATATGTTCAAGTGGAAATATGCAGATTCATTGCGGGGAAGGTTAACCCAGCACGCAGGGTTCGAATGGCACTGAGCCCATCTCACCTGAAAGGGTCTCACACTTGATTTCAATTAACAGGCTTCTGCGGACCACTGCAACTAGGGAATCTAGTGTGTTGGAATAGAGAAACCACAAAAACGTGCTGGATACCGGCCCTCAAGGCCCGTGTTGGGAATATTGGGCACGAATAATTTGTAAGCTTTTACTTACTTTTTGGATTCATCAATACATTTGTAAATATGGAAATATTTACCGATTAATTAATTAATTAGGATATTAGGATATCCACGGGGCACCACCCCTTTAACAGGGGAACAATGAATCCACACCTATTATCAATCTAGTCTAAACTTTCCGTGAAATCTTCACGAGCTGCAGTTAATTTATATCAACACAAACAAATCATCTTAATTGGCAATGACCTTTATTAACTAATATATTCACTTCAGCTTAGGGCTGGGCGATATGGCAAAAATAGAATATCACGATTTTTCCAATATTTTATCACAATTTCGATTTTATCACGATTTTTTTATCCATGAATAGCATAACTTCTATTGCGTATTAATGAAGAGAAACATTGAATAAATAAACATTTATTTATATTAGGGATAATCAACACAGTGCTAACACACTTATATTTTAAACTCACACCAGAGATGATAGAAGCCCTGAGAGAAACAATTACAAAAATCAGTTTTTCTCGTTTTTCAAGTAACTTAACATAAATTATAATCGTAAATGTATATAAAGGGCAAACATGTCAATTGCAAACATATTGTGCAAACATTACCTTGTTCAAAATACTATGTAGCTCCCAGTTGCTCATGTAGTGGATAGTTAAGCTCAAATACGGCTCTGAAGTGCAGCTGGACCAGAGATCGCTTGTGGTAGCAAAAAACTGCGCATTCTGAATATTTTCTGCAACTCTCACTTTGCATTCAGCGTACATGCATGGAATGGCTGTGTTTGAAAAGTACTTGTGGCTGGAAAACTCGTAGCGCGGATCCAATGTTTTTATCATTTTCTTACATCCCACTCCTACTGTTCGCACGGGACACAAATCTTTAACCAAGTGGTACGTCACTGCATCTGTCACGCTGTTCCATCATCTGCTGTCTCTGCCGTAGGGAGAGTTTTGTGAGTGTTTCTGTTCGCGTTTGCTGCCTGGAAGAAGCACTAGCCGCTGCAGCCGCAGGCTTTTTAGCTTTAGCTGCCAGCTGGCTCTCATTGTATTGTTTGGGATGCCTTCTTTTCAAGTGATTAAACAAGTTTGTGGTGTTGCCATCACTTGCCTTGACGATCTCCTTGCTAATGACGTTTTGCTGCTCTTTGTCATCTGGTGAAAAACCAAACCAGTTCCATATAATGGACGAGGCGTTCCTCTTCGGAACGAAAACCTTGTTGTCGCTCTCAGCCGCGGCCGAAGCCATGTTTGTTCACACACAGGTGAAAACAAGCGGGGCACTAATATATTACTATAGCCCTTTTCAGACAGACATTCTGGAACATTTGCGGACAATTCAATCCGGTTTTTAACCGGAACTGTGTTTTCAGACACACCACTTTTGTACCGGAACTTGTCCTTTCGGCTGCGTTCACACAGCAGGGAAAAGTTCCAGATGTCTGACGGCGGCGGCGGCGGGGGGTGGGGTGGGGGGGAATCGGACTTATGTTAAGAAGAAGAAGAAGAAAATATCATTTCTATAGCGCCTCTCAAGATAAAAATCACGAGGCGCTTAAGCATAATTCTGCGCACACGAAGACGCATAAGAGACCTGGATGATGAAGCTCAATGGTTAAAGGAATCACTGAAGCGCTGTGAAGCGCTCCGTCGCGCGTCTAGGCGGTACCGTAGGAGGCGAGCTGCCGTTGTTCGCCGCATGCTACAGCAGCGGGCTATATAGGTGCGCACAGCGTCCCCCGGTCCCCTCCTCCCCCTCCCCCTTGTCCGGAACTTTACCTCACCAGTCTGAAGCAGTCACTCTGTCCATAACAAGTCCGGACCTGTTACTAGGGGCTTCGTCCGGATAAATTCCGGAACATGTTATCCGGATGTTTGTATTCAGAGGTCTTACGGACAGATTCCGGAACATTTCCGTTTTTCATGGCCTGTCTGAAGGGGGCTTATGACTCACTCTGATTGGTTAAGGGTCAAACAAAGGCGTGTTTAGGGATGGGTACCTTTTACATTTGAATCCATAGGCGTCATTTTAACCGGGGACGCCGGGGACATGTCCCCAGGCAAAATTTGTGATTGGCCGCTGTGTCCCCCCCACTTTCAAAAAAGCCTGTTGATTAGGTTTTTTTTACCAGCTCAGATGTATACCTACGTCTGTCCCCGGCAGATTTTTAAATGTTGCAACTGGCATCTAATTATTTATACTTGAGCTTTAAATAAAAATAAAACCGTAATCAATTTAGATTATTTTTGTAACATTACTGAAAAAGTGCCCTGCGTTATGCTGAGTACCCTGCCACCCAGCTGTCAGCAGTTGTGATAAGCAGGAGAGCACGTCACCCACACTGCTCAAGAATCCCTTATTCTTCTTTAGCTCCAAGAGGTAAGCAATGTTATATTTTATTTAACACCAAAAGAAGGCGATATTTTAATGTGATTAATGCAGGCGTCCTTCAGGCGTGCTTACAGCCACCCCAGCTGTTAGCATGTAGCTGGTGGAGGTGAGTACACGTGAGCAGAATTATAAGTTGTTAAAAAGTCGATTTTAAGTTGAGTTAAGTAGCTTTTGTGACTTGTTTTTGACATGCGAGGGCTCTTGGGAGTGTTCTGTGAGAAGTTTAGCTGTAGCTTTAAAAAGAAAAGCAAGTTATATGTGTGATAATGCTTCGATTAGCGTGTTGCTAATAGAAGCTAACTTCTCATGAGTGAGTGTTAAGTTACTTCGCTGTCTTAACCTGAACAGAGTGTGATGCTGGATAATACACATTAGCCACGTTTACATGCGCAAAATCTCCTCTATCCGATGAAAATCTTGGCTGTTCAGAAATCCCAAATGTCTGTAATGGACACTAATTTATGCACCAAGCATTCCATCCGAATAAATAGGTTGAGCATGCGCAGAGAATTGTATTTCCTGGAAAAGATGGTAAACAAATGCCATGAAACGAAATGAAAAGTGTAATGTGCAGAATTTTTGATCTGACTGGGTGTTCAGTCCATTTACTTGTGCCCATTTAAACGTGGCTAGTGATGGAAATTGTGTGTTCTGTTATACCAGGTAGGCTCATGTATGAATGTTACAGTAGAAAAATGTATTTGTGTTACAAGTGTTATTAGCAACTTTTGGTCATCCACTATAATCTGTTTTTTATGTAAAATGTGAAAAAAAACTTGAATAGTAATAATAACCACTATACAATCACGCAGCACAGTAACATGCAAGTTGGTGGAGACCCCTGTGTGAGGCTGGATAACACATATTGATGGAAATTGTGTGTGTTCTGTTGGACCAGATTGCTGCCAATAAAAGCAAGTTGAAGAATAATCTGGTGCCATAATCTGCTTTTTGGTGAATGTGGAGCACAAGAGTGATGACACAAATTGTCCAGACCACATCTACTGAGCAGGTCAGAAGGTGATCCGTTACATTAGCCGTTCTCTCTTTATTTTGTTTGGATGCCTTGATGAATCTTTTGAAGCTTAAAATATTATGAAGGATTCTTTAGTCAAAGATGGATCAGTTAACTGTTTTATTAACAGAACAAAAATGAAAAGGGAAATAACCATTAAGTTTGAATGCACACAAATACACATTGTGAACACACTGAGAACAGTTGCATTCTGACTGACCTGTGTGTGTGTGTGCCCTACTACTAGCGTGCCTGTCAAATGACTCCCTAGCCTTCTTCCAGTTTCTGAACCCCAGAGAAATATAGGTATGTTCAGTTTTTTGCCATTGTTTAAATGTTCTTTTTAAAAGCAGTTGTGCAGTAGAAGCACAAAACTCCTTTTATTTCAGGACTGTAATGGAGCCAGGGGAAGATTTTGAACCAGCTCTCCTGGAAGTGAAGAGTGCGGTTCGGCAGAGTTTGTGGCTCGATTAGCTGTGCTGCTGGTTGGTATGGGGAACCTGGACCCTCAGCTGTATGGATGTTTGCGTGTGGAGCGTTATCCTGCTTCCCCACATCAGTAGCTGATGACTCGACCTATAATGTAATTATTCAGTTGTCATTAGTTTCCATACATAGTTCTCAGAAATGTTTTGATTCTACACAGTGTTCTCCAATTGGTCTACTATTGCCATTATGTTATATACACAACTTACTTTTCTGTTTGTATTTTGGTAGTAATTGTAGTGTTGTAGATCTATCTGTTGTTTTAATCAAATCTGTTTTCCTTCCACATTTTTGTACAAGTTGAACCAATGCAAAGCCCTGCAGATGGATAAAACTTGCATATGTTTGCTTCCTGAACCCTCACCTGCTGAATCTGATCTGAGCTTGTTTCAACACTCTCCATTTCTTCATCCAGTGATTGCACTTGCTGTAAGAGTATACCAAATTTGGTTTCATATTTACTGTAAGGTTATATGATTTTCTGTTGATGTGAATTTCACCTCTCCATTCTCAGCTGCCTGTTCCTGAATGTGTTCATTTTCCTCTGTCACATGCTGTTCCTGATAGAAAATGGATATTCAAATAAACATTACAACTTTTGTGATTTTATTTTTTTTATTTTGCTAATGCAGCATAGACTTATCAATGCCATCAAAATCTGATTTAAGATTAACACAGTTTTGCAAGGCTATGGAAGGGCTGGGCTGGTTAAGGTCATGTAGGGTCACACGGTTAGCATCTGGTTTCCCAGTCACTTTTACACCACAAAACTTTATTCTGAGACTTCTTCATTTCTCACACTTCAACCTAAAATTTAATCCCTCTAACACTTTAATTATGGATGGGTCATTTCACATAATGGGACCATTTGCTAGATGGGGACCTAGTTGGAATTAGTTAAACAGCACCATTCAGTGACAGGTGCAACACCTGTATGTCGGTAGGCTACTGCAACCTCCTTTCAGAACTATCCACTTGAGCAGGTCGGGAGTATATCACAGGGCTGTGCTGTCGTGTTTATGTATTGTAAGATGAAGTCTTCTGAAAAATGATGAAAACCTAGACATTTTTTCAACCTATGAAATCTTCCCAGATGCCCCTAATAGCACATGAACAGTAAAAATGTCACGGGAAAAAGAGGTTTGATCACCTAGCATAAAGTGCGTGGTTTTTAACCATTATTGCTGCTAGCTAACTGTACCAGTAGATGAGAGAAACATTGCCCTCTTATCTACTGCTAAGTAAGTCAATATCAAATGATAAAACTGGATATCTTAGTCTTTTTTGTTGGGATGCACTTACAGCACATTTTTCTAGCAGAAAAACCATCTGATATCGGTTGCGTTCTTTCTTTTCGACATGGTCAACAGACACCTACTTTTCACCTACTTCAGCTTCTTAACTTTTTTAAAAAAAATCAATGAATCCGGTAGTTCACGGACAGCTAGCCTGTCGGAGTGTGGAGATGACCAGAGAGTGGAGCCTGATAAAAAGATGAGTATTTTTCTCTGAAAATCTTATTTGACAGTCACAAATAACATAACAAGGATATATATAATATAATACAATAATAATAATACAATATCTTTTTTGCTAGGCTAGCTATATGGATGTAAAGATTCCACCTTGCTTACAGGCAAATGAGGTGTTTCAGTGCCGTTGGAAAAACAAAACAAAACAGGATTTTTAATAACTGTCAATACACTCCTCTGCATATTGGAGTGAAACATTAAAAACTGATGAATACTTAAATATGCTAGCCTTTTTAATGATTGTCCCCAGCAATTTTTAAACCCCACTCAAGTGTATGGTTATTGTCCCCAGCAATTCTAAAAACAAACTGACGCCCTTGGCAGCAGGTGACGCGGAGTCCTGTGACGGGCCACGTCTAGCGTCTTCTGACCCTCTGTTTGCTGACTCTGTAGATTTCTCCATGTCCTGCTGCACTGTCCTGAGGTTCTGTGTCTTTTCCTTCTGGATGTAGCTGAAGGTCTACTCGATTTCTCCTCAGGGACACTCCACCCTCCATCTGGATCCTGTATGAACGTGGTGCCACCTCCTCCTTCACCTGACCTTGATGTCTCCAGGTCCCTGTAGTAATGTCTCTGAGACGCACCTTGTCTCCTGGCTTCAGGGAAGGCAGGTGTCTCGCCGTGCGATCATGCAGCTGTTTTTGTTTCACCTTTTGTCCATCCTTTGCTTCCTTAACTTTATGTGCAGTTTTTGGCGTCAGCAGGTCCTCATTAACTGGTAGGTTGGATCGAATACGTCTCCCCATCAGCATCTGAGCTGCTGACATTCCATTCTGCAACGGTGTGCTTCTATAGATCAGTAGGCTCTTCTGAAAATCCTCTCTGTCCTGAGCTTTTTTCATTAATGTTTTTATTATCTTGACGGAGCTTTCTGCTAAGCCGTTGGACTTTGGATATATGGGGCTTGATGTTGAGTGTTGAAACCCCCATTCCTTAGCAAAGGTGGCAAACTCACAGCTGGAAAACTGGGGCCCATTATCGGAGAAAAGTTCACATGGGACACCATGCCTGGCAAAGACAGTCTTGAGATAAGCGATTACTGCTTTACTTGAAGTTGTCTGCAGTAGCCCAACTTCTGGATAGTTTGAAAAGTAATCTGTCACCACTATGTAACTTTTCCCATCAAAATCAAACAGGTCTGTTCCTACCTTATAGTAAGGTCTGTGTGGTGCTGGGTGAGCCAGCAGTGGCTCCGCCGGCTGTTTGGGCCTGTAGATGCGGCACTGTTCACATGAAGCTGTGGTCTGGCTGATGTCTTGGTTGATTCTTGGCCAGTACATTACTTCTCTTGCCCTGCGTTTACACTTGACCTCTCCGAGGTGACCTTCGTGGATCTTTTGGAGCATCTGTTTGCGTAATGAGGATGGTATGACATATTTGCTCCCTTTCATCACTATGTCATCCACCACTGTTAGTTCTCCTCTGCAGTTCCAGTAATCCTGGATTTTTGTGCTCTTAAGTTCATTCATGACTTCGTCTGTATTTGTCTCTATTTTTATCTGTTCTGATCTGTCAGCAGATACTGGCAGAGATGTCATCACCGTGTCAACATGTTTTTATGTTTTTATGTGCTTAGCAGACGCTTTTACCCAAAGTGACTTATGATTTTTTTTTTTTACCTATAGGGCATGTTGTGATCTGTGGGGGAAACCGGAGTACCCGGAGAAAACCCACGCATGCAAGGGGAGAACACGCAGAAAGGCCGCAGCCGAGTTTGAACCTGCGACCTTCGTGTTGCGAGGCAACAGTGCTAACCACTGCGCCACCATGCAGCCATACATGAAAAGTCTGGACATACACATGCTTGTATGTCCAGACTTTTCTCAAGGTCTTCATGCTCTTCCTTATCCACTGCTCTTGATGATGTATCAGCTGTGTACATATACTTTCCTTTGGTGTAGATCATGTGCACGTCGTATTTCTGTAGCCTGATTAGCATGCGCTGTATCCGTACTGGACAGTCATTCAGTGGTTTGGACATGATGGACACCAGTGGTTTGTGGTCAGTTTCCACTTCAGAAGTTTGGCCATAGACATACTGATGGAAACGTTCACATGCATACATGCTCGCTAACAGCTCCTTTTCGATTTGAGCGTATCGTGTCTCTGCACTCGTCAAAGCTCTGAATGCGTAGGCTACCGGCAACCACTGTTCCTCATGTTGCTGCAACAGCACTGCACCCAGTCCGTGTTGTGATGCATCTGCTGAGATCCTGGTGCTTCTCTCTGGGTCATAAAACTTCAGCACTGGCTCTTGTGTGAGAATCTCTTTTAACTTTAGAAAACATTGTTCTTGCTCATGGGACCAGATCCATTCATTCTTTTGTTCAAGCAAACTTCTGAGAGGGGCTGACAATGTTGACAGTTGTGGGACAAACTTTGCCAGATAGGTGACCATTCCTAGAAACCTTCTGACGTCGTCTTTGTTGTTTGGTCTTTCCACGTTACATATTGCTGACGTTTTCTTTGGGTCTGGCTTCACCCCGTTCTCACCGACAACATCTCCCACAAATGTAAGTTTTTTCACTCCAAACTCACATTTATCTTTGTTTAGTTTCAGATTGACTTTTCTTGTCTTGTCTAGTACTTGTCTCAGTCTTTGGTCATGTTCTTCTCTAGTGGTTCCCCAAACTATGATGTCATCCATCATGGTCTCCACTCCTGGAATGTGCTCAAAAATCATATGAATGGTCTTGTGGTGGACTTCAGGAGCTGACAAGATGCCGTCTGGCAGACGAGGAAACCTGTATCTGCCCTCAGGTGTGTTGAACGTACAAAGTCTAGAGCTCTCCTCGTCCAGCCTCAGCTGCCAGAAACCTGATGAGGCATCTAGTTTACTGAACCATTTAGCTCCGGCAAACTGTGCCATGATTTCTTCTCTGGTTGGCAGCTTGAAATGTTCTCTTTTAATAGCTTTATTTAAATCCCCTGGATCCAAGCATGTTCTGAGAGCACCTGTTTTCTTTTGTAGAACCACCAGTGAGCTGACCCATTCAGTTGGCTCATCTATTTTTTTGATGACCTCTAGTTTTTCCATGCGTGCCAGTTCGTCTTTTAGTTTTTCCCGCAGTGCAAATGGGATTTTCCTACCGGGATGCACAACAGGTGGCACATTTTTATCCACACATATTTCATGTTGTCCTGGGAGACATCCAAGTCCTTCGAAACAGTCTTTATATTCTTCCATGAGGGAATCCTGATCATTCGGGGCTTCTGGTGTGGAGACTATGTACACCCTTTTAACCAGGTTGAGCTTTACGCATGCACTGAGTCCTAGGACTGGTTGTACACTCTTATCCACGATCAGCAGCTGTGCTCTTATCTGGTGTTTTTTGTATCTGAATGTCACAACACATCCACCTTTAACAGGAACTCTCTCTCCTGTGTATCCAGTGACTTTTATTTTCACAGGATGCATTTTGCTCTTTTTTGTCATAGCTTTGTAACGTTCCCATGATACCAAGTTAACCTGGGCCCCTGTGTCCAACTTGAATGGAATTATTGCCTCATTGACCTCAACTGGCACCACCCATTCCTCTTTCTCTGATGTAGAGGTGTGTACTTCATCTATAATGAACTCCTCCTCATCCTCTGCTTCTTCATCAACTGTGGGAACTTTCTGTTTTGGAGCTGCTTTACAACATTTGGCATAGTGATTCATTTTCCCACAATCGTTACAGGATTTCCCAATTGCTGGGCACGACTTTGGTCTGTGACTGCTTCTGCATTTACCACATCTGAACTCTGTAGCTTTCCCTTTTTGGTACTTTTGTTTGGTAAATGTTTTCTTTATTACTCCATCTTTACTTAGAGCATGCACTGACGTCTCACCTCTCCGGAGCTCCTTTGCTTGTGCTCGTGTGGTTTCCGCTGCTCTGCACATGCTGACACACTTATCCAGTGTAAGACCAGTCTCTCTCAGCAGCCTCTCTCTCAGTGCATTATCCACAGTTCCACAGACAATCCTGTCTCTTACTAGCGAGTCTCTCAAAGTCCCAAATTCACACGATTTGCTTAATGTGTGAAGCTCTGCTAAATATTGATCAACAGGTATCCCCTGCTTCTGATCATGGGTAA